CCCCCAAAGTTTACCTATAACAAGTTAAAAAAAACCAACATTGTAACATCTACGTCATTGATAAATACGCAACTTTTCGATTCAAAGACAAAATGCAAAACAATCAGACAACAGTTTGTACAGGGCAGGAAAAAAAAGTACGGCTGACAAGCTGAAGCAATTAACCACCTAGCGTTAGCAGACGACTAATACAGTACAACGATACGATCAATGAGACAAGCGAGAGGCACTACCACTCTCTGACAGGAACTTCTTCATGCCATAACGACCAGAGACTGCTTGAAAGCAAATGGCTGCGATACAAAATAGGAGATAAGAACTAGGGCAGAGATTTAGAGAGAGAGAGAGAGAGAGAGAGAGAGAGAGAGAGAGAGAGAGAGAGAGAGAGAGAGAGAGAGAGAGAGGGGGGGGTGGGAGGGTCATATCGTACAGCTCCAATAAAAAGTGATTTTCCATAGAGGGACCAGCTTCTTTCTCCACCAAAATGCTCAGTCCTGTAGCATTAACATAGCAGGACGAATCGATATCAATAATACCTCGCAATTTATGGGCATCAAATCTACCAGAGCACCAAAATGTATGGATCGACAATATAGGTCAACGCTCTGCTTCTCTCGCCCCACTCCCTGTCATCCTTTTTTATGCTATGGCATTTTCTGCCAATATTCTCGCACATAAGTTATCCACTTGAAACTGGGAGACGCAAATCTTTCCACTCAAAGAAAGACAATATCACAAGATACCAAATAACTTCAAAAAAGAACTCAACGCTTCCAAGAACAAGGTAAGAAACCATACAGCTTGCTCCACAGCAATGGCAAGGAAACCCATGCCTGAAACAATCTTCTTCCCGTCTTTATAATTATTCAGACGCCTCCGTATTTTTAGTGATGCCCTCAAGCTTTCTGGAAACTTAAAACCATTTCAGACAAAAGCTTCAAAGCCACGGGAAATGAACCTATCAAAAGTGGATTAGACAGAGTTGGGGAGGAAAATTTTTTACCCCACTTGCAAAGCAATGAGGTCGTATAGACGCCAAAGAATAGAGGTGTTACAAGAGAGTAATAAACACACAAAAAATATTAAAAGATTAAGACGATAGATGTTTGATAGAAAAGAAGGGGCAAACCACACCAGAGCATCCACCAACCACTTACGAGAACAAATGTATTTTTATTTAAGTCCCTGCGTCTTCTAAGCCATAAACAACACCGTTTCACATCTTCACCATCATTGTCATTGATATCATCCCACCATCTCCATTTTCAATCCCCGCGGTATCTTTGATATCATCCTCAGTATCGGCTCAATATTGATATCGTGGACAACAGTAAGCCAACACACATAAGGCTCGTACTCACCATCAAAATACGTCGGTAACTGTCTCTGTCGATACCCCATAGCTTTACGTCCGTCTTGGCCTGAAACAAGAACAGACACAGTTCATGAACGAGTATTTACGACGTTGTTGTCACAGGTCTTTGCAGTGTGCATTGTTTGCATCTCGTGAGAACCTGAATATTTTGGGCCAAAAAAGGAATTCAGAGGGGGGGGTGTTCCACGACAATAATTGACGACTGAAAGAAAAGCACTCAAAAGAGAAACAGAGTACTTGTCTGTTTGTTCGAGTAAACAGAAGCACATCGACACAATCGTAGTTTAGTACTCGGAAAAAGTAAGACAAAGAGACAGAAACAACAGTAGGAAAGTATAAAAGTAGAACCTACCAGTGGCGCGCTCCAACCACCCATGGAGCAGGGTAAGAAAAACGGGACGCAGAATGGATGAAGATTTTTTTTATCATGAGAGAAGAGTGAGGACAAATGCCAGAGTGCAATATTCTGTATGATGGAGAGAAGCACTTCACATAGGACTAAAGAACGAGAGCTTCGATTGATGTTCAGCTTAGGCATCCAATACTCCTGGTTCACTTGAGGCCAGGACCGACACTTCAGTGACAGGCATATTGCAGGGCGAACAAGAACATTAATACTGATCGCTGAGGCTTTTCTCCTTAATCATTCCCTTTCAAATTCCCATATCCTCTATCCTTTTATTTCTCCGTTTTTCTCCTCTTTCCTTTTCTCCCTTTCTTAATCGCTTTCAACTCTGTCTTCCAATTTCTCAACATTCCACGACAACACCCGAGCATGAACTAAGCCCATCTCGTTTCAATATGAATAAATTAATGTGGATCATTAGCTTGAAAGTAGTCCTCCAGCCGATGCCAGTTGCTTTTGGCATCGCCATGGGAAATTTCCCTAAAACCTCCTATTGCTAGACTCTTTTTTTAATGAGCTATTTTTTTCCTTAACCTGGTAGTAAGCTGGTGTATTTCGGTCGAATACAAATAATTGCAACCACAATCCTATTCATTTGCGAGCGCCGTAAAACCCTCTACTATATATATATTTTTTTTTTTTAAAGGAAGCTCTATCGCGTTCCTCTGTGTTCGATGTAAAAAACATTTTCACAGAAACCTAAGTTAGAGACCAGGTTCACACCATGCTACCAGCGAGAAAATCTAAAACGGAGGCATTCCAGCGAGGCCTGCAAAGCTGGAGCAGGCCTCCCCAATCCAGTTAGTTCATGGCAGCGAGGATACGGGCAGGAATAAATGACGTTTGGACTTCGCTTTATTGCCATACAGGTCACAAACTCTGAGAACCCACATACGCACGCACTCACGGACACACGCACGAGCGCGTGTGCGCGCGCACGCAAGCACACACACACACAC